ACGGCTCAGGGCTGTCAGGCGCCCCGTTAGCCGTTGTACCTCCTTGACGTTGCGGGGCGGCTCCATATTGATGATAGCCTGTATCTTCTCCAGGTTTATTTCAATGCCTCTCCGGCTGACCATGTAGCCGAGGAACTTGCCACCTTGGACGCCAAAGGCGCACTTCTTGGGGTTGAGGCGGAGTTTGAACTCCTTCATGATTTCAAAAATTTCCCGGAGGTCGTCAACATGTGTGGTGGCTCGCTTGCTTTTGACAATCATGTCATCGACGTATGCCTCCATCGTCCGGCCGAGGACTGTTCTGAAGATCTTAGCCACCATCCTGTTATAGGTGGCGCCGGAGTTTTTGAGTCCGAAAGCCATGACGAGGTAGCAAAAAATTCCCTCCGGGGTCATGAAGGCCGTCCTCTCAGCGTCATCTTCATGCATGAAAATCTGGTGGTACCCTCTGAAGGCGTCAAGGAACGACATCAACTCGCATCCCGCCGTCTCGTCCACCAATTGATCAATGTTTGGGAGAGGGAATGGGTCCATGGGGCACGCCTTGTTCAGGTCAGTGTAATCAACACACATTCTGAATGTCGGCGGTTTTTGGGCGAGGACGACGTTGGCTAGCCACGTCGGGTACTTCACCTCCTTGATGTGGCTGATTGAGAGGAGCATGATGACCCCCCCCCCCCCTTGACGAAGTCCCGCCTGTCGGCGGACAAGTAGCGTCGCTTCTGCTTGACAGGCGCGGAGGTCGGATCGACGGTTAGCCGGTGGGTGATCACCTTCCGGCGGATGCCTGGCATGTCATCCGGGCCCCACGCGAAGATGACGGTGCATGACCGTAGGACGAGGAGGATGACATCTCGCTGGTCCTGCGGGAGTTGCTTCCCGATTTTGAGGATCCGCTCCGGCCGAGAGGTATCCAGGGGGACCTCCTCGACCTCTCCTCGTCCTTGGCAATGGTCGCCGTGATGGTGTCTATTCTTTGTCCTTTCCTTTCGGCTGGCCTCGTTAGCTTGAGGTAGCATGCCCTGGCGTAGCTGATGCCGCCACTGGTGGGGAACTTCAAGTATAAGTGATTCATGGAGATGATGGCATCCAGGTCCTCCAGCGCTGGCCGCCCCCAAATCAGTTTGTGGGCGCACTGAAGGTTGACCACCATGAACTCCATGTCAATTTTGGCGTGGTGGGAACCTTCGCCGACCTCCACGGGGAGGACTATCGTGCATTCGGCGTCGATAGAGTCCCCGGTGAAACCGGACAACGGTGTCTTGATCGGCTTCAGCAGAGCTTTGTCCAGCTTCATCTGCTTGAAGGTGTCTAGGTACATCACGTTGACGGAGCTCCCCGTATCGATGTAAGTGCGGTGGATGATGGAGTCACCGATCTCACACCGGATGATCAGGGCGTCCCTGTGTGACTCCGTACCAGGAGGCAGATCCTTGTCGGTGAAGGTGATCGCCTCCGTTTGTTGCTTCTTCGGCTGGGGGGAACGTGTGACACCTCCCCAATGTAAAGGGATTTGGGCCCATTTCTTCCTCTGGGTGACGGAGTCCCCCCCCCCCCCCCCCGGTGTTCCCATTTACGATGAGGTGAATGTGGTTCTTCTTTGGTAGAGGCTCCTCAAAGTCTTCATCATCGCTGAGCCTACCGATCTCCCGCTTCTTCGTAGAGGGTTCGCCCCCAGATTTGTCGGTGTTTACCCACGCATTCTTGCGCGGGCTACCCCTTTAACAAATTGGGAGAGTTCCCCCTGACGAATTAGGCGCTCGATGGCCTTCTTCAGCGTGATGCAGTCGTCGGTGTTGTGTGAGGCGTTCTTGTGGAAACGACAGTAGGTACCGCCCTACTGGATGGCATGGACTTCATCCGCCGGCTGAGGAGCTTGTTCAATGAGGCTGTGCTTTTCGGCATAGTCGAGGATGATGCTGACCGGGTGCGTGAGGGGGACCCCCGGCCGTTCCAACCTCGGCCGCCAATGGCGGTCTTTCTTGCTTTGTCCACCAGAGCCGTGACGGCCCTGGGCACCCTGGACGGTCAGGGATGCTCCCGGGGCCGGTGAAGGATTTGTCTTCTTGGAGGGGTGACCTCCGTCTTTTTTTGTGGTTGTGGAGCTCATCGGCATCAACGTACAAACTCCCGCGCTGAAGCGCCTTTGCATACGACCTCGGAGGGTCGGTGATGAGGCTCTTGGCATACGGGGAGCTACGGAGGGCTCCCAGGTAGAGGATGAGGAGGGTGCGCTCATCGGCCCCCTTGACCTCTTCGGTCTCCCTCGTCCACCGATCAATGAATGACTGGAGGGGTTCGTCATGTTGCTGCTTGACGGAGAGGAGACGGTTGAAGTACTTCTTCACACGCTTCCTCCCGGCAAAGTGGGTGAGGAAGCGCTGGGCAAGGTCCTGCCATGAGTCTATACTTCCTTCGGGAAACGCGTTGAACCACTCGTACGCCGACCCCTCAAGAGTGGAGAGGAACCAACGGCAGAGGTATTCATCCGACGCGTTTACCATCAGCATGTTATTCTGGTAGCGGCTGAAGTGCTCCTGGGGGTCTGATCGGCCGTCATAGGACTTGATGGCGTTTCCCCTGTACTTCTCTGGGATGGGAGTCGAGAGCACCCTCTTAGTGAAAGGAGTCCTGGTCCTGACCTGGATGACAGGGTCACCTCGTCCTTTGGCCAACTCCCTCTCCAGGGCGCTGACCTTGTTCATGAGAGCATTGGAGGCACCGGCCGTGGGAATGTTCGCCGATTGTCTGGCCTCCATCTGGGCCAGCCTCCTCTCCAGTTGGGCGATAACCTCGTCCCGAGGGTCCCTGGCGGCCGTAGCGGCGCCCTGCTGGTTCTGCATATGCACCCCGTGGACCGCGTTGATCTGGTGGCGCACGTCGTCCTCGTGCAACTTTCCCTTGCCCTTGTTCAGGTAGGGCTGGTCCGCTGTCCGGGACACAGACCACAGGCTTTCCCTTGGCGAGCCAGGCCGGCGCTCACCAATCCGTCCCGCCATCCTCTCCGAAACCGGACGACGGCGCGTGTCACCCAACCTATTGAAGGCGGAGGCTTTTCCACGTGTTGGGGTCGGTACGGGCCGAAGAGGGGAGGCAGGGTGGGAGTGGGACGATGTCGTGTCCTGGGCTATCACCCCCTCATCGTTGCCTAGCTTGATGGCCAACGGTTGGGGCTGAGGAGGTGGAGTGATGTTCCCCCCAGTCCTTGGCATGAGTGCGCTGAGGACGGTGGGATTCTGAGCCAAGCTGACGATGATGACTGATAGTGCGGCCTGAACCCGTGGGTCAACGGACGGGGAAGCCGTGGCCAAAGGTTGGGCCGGGGCGTTGTCTGTCTTCTCTGCGCGCTTCTTATCCAGGCCGATGCGGGCATCAGGGGCGCCGCCGTTGAGCTGGTTACGCAGGTCCGTCGTGAGGTTGATGGCCTCCTGGAAGACGTCACCTCCTCCGACCTGGTCGGCCGTGGCGTCCTCCTCACGCTCCCTGTCCTCCTGATCCTCAGGGATGGCCTTGCTGACAAGGTTACGGTTTGACTTGGTTCTTCCCATGATAAGTGGTTAGCTGTGCTTGGTAGCAGCGAAGGATGCTAACTTGATTGTTCTAGCTCTCAATGAAAGCACCAAATGAGAGAGTATATATCTAGAGAGAAGTGAGAGCTAGAGAGAAAAGTGCAAGTAAATGCTTAAATAAATGATTTTGTAACCCCTACAACTACTCCGAGAGGTAGTATTTATAGGGAAAATACGGGCTGGGCTCCCAAGCCATGGGCTGGGCTCCCAAGCCCAGGGCTTGGGAGGCCCATTTACAACTGGACCGCTATTGGGCCGAATACAATGTGTGTAGAAATGATTAAGTGTAAAATCTAGTTCTGTGAGGCTTTCGTGGCCGACGGGGGTCTGGCCGACGAGGGCACGGCCGACGGGGGCACCCAAGTTCCCTGGCTTCAGGATCATATTCTGAGTTGGCCCCTCTTCGGCCGACGGGGGTCCTTTGGCCGACGAGGGCACCGCTTGGTAGCTTGCGCTTTCTGTTCTTCTGAGTATGTGGGTCCTGGGGCCTAGACCCATATTCTCCATCATCAGGCTTGTTTATTTGGGCTAGCAACTTTTCTCTACGGTTTTTTTCTGATTGTTTTTATTTCTCTCAACTTTATTTTGTCATTTCTTGAAAAGGTATGCCTTTTCTGGGAAGTCTTGGTATAGTCCCCTCTCGTTTGTTCCTCATTTTCTTAATAAATACTGGCAGATGTCCTCCGACATTTGCCCCACTGATTTTAGTGGTTTGCCTTCCGGGGTAGGGAAAAAAATTTAAAATGTCATATACATTACACTAGATTTGCATATTGAAATTCATAAGACTTCATTATAGATACTAGTATAATTTAATAAGTTTTTACGGAGTATAAAAGAAACAATAACAAAAAGAAAGGGAATTTGAAGTTATGGAGCAGAGATGACGATTCTCAATATTAGACTCCTAATACTCAACAGAATATGTATGATACTCAATTACACATTAAAGGTTCATTAATGCTCATTCACAAAAAATCATGATTTTCATTTCAATAGCGAAGGTTTGATGCTTAATTAAAATGTTATGATGTTCAACTATTAAACCTTACGATTTTCATATCAATGTGCAATTTGTAAGTTATGTATGCTCATTTGGTAACGATGTAATGCTCATTTTTAAAATCGCATATCAATGCATATTTCATAAGTATCATGTTACATCATATTCACATATTGAAAGTAATACGAATGGATTATATATATAATTTAATAAGTTTTTATACAATAAAAAATATGAAAAGAAAAATGAATTAGAAGACATAAAACAGATCGTGATACTCATTATTTGCCTCATAATATTCAATAAAATATATCAAATGTTAAATAGAGATACATCATTGGTGGAAGTCATGACTTCTTGCTTAAATTACAAAAATGTCACCAAAAAGGGTTGTAGTAGCTATTGAACTGCCTTCCCTAATTGGACCGTGTAAATGGAGGCAGTCTTAAAACCCTGCATCATTTTTTTAGTTCATACTTCAAGCCCAAGAATGACACTTGCTCAGAATCAGAAGCTGGGAAAGAGATGAAAATGCTTCCACGTCTTGTCAGGACATCCGCCGCCGCCGTGCGCCTCTTCTCGGCAGAAGCTGCTACGGCGGCGGCGGTTATGAAGCCCACGGCCGCAGAAGATGGCGGTGGAGGCATGATAAGCACGAGAAAGGGAGGCAAGGATACTCTTGGGAGGAGGCTTTTAAGTCTTGTGTACTCAAAGCGTAGCGCCGTAATCACTATCCGGAAATGGAAGGAAGAAGGTCACACCGCACGCAAGTATGAGCTCAACCGTGTTGTGAGGGAGCTTCGAAAGCTTAGGCGTTACAAGCACGCGCTTGAGGTCATTCAGCAACACGAATCAGGAATTTCTCCATTTTTTTCAAATATCTTTGAATTCGGATAACTAGTATCATAACATAAAATTTCAAGAATATGCATTTATGTTGCTCAAAGACGCTATATAGTGCTTAATTTAGGCGGAATGCAAAGGCATAGTCAAAATGTCAAATCATTACTCTCAAACAAGGAGCCAAAGAAACTTATTGCTAAGAAAGTGTTTTTATATGTTGCAGAATACTTGTTAATGAACCCTAAGAGTAAAACATGCTAAAAGTGCAAATTTCTAATACACCTTTTGCACGTTAATTCAGGTGCTCCATTTGAGATGTCACTTTTTTTGTACAATGGTTTCATCTGCAAATCGATATGGCGTTTTTTAGTTAGTCAAGATAACGTGATAACATTCTTTTAAAGAAGAGAAAGTCATGATCACATGTTTGCATTTTTATGATCACTCAAACTTAGTGTCGTCTTAGTACTTGTTAAACAAGTTCTTTTTATATGTTGCAGATTTATGTGCCTATGGAATATTTGAAAACGATATAGCTTAGTTGTCAGAACTATATCTTGTTAGCACATACCTGATATGTACTCCCTCCGTCCCATAATTAACTTCGGTTTTGACTGGGCACGGGGATTAAGATAGTGAGATTTGTGTGGTGGAGAGTTGTGCAGAGGAGAGAGAAATGTGTAAGAATGATTGTGAACCACATATTCTTTATCAAAAAAGGAAAGAGGAGATAAATTTGGGACGGACCGAAAAGGAAAGAATGAAGATAATTTCGGGACGGAGGGAATATATGTTTTGTAAAGAAATACTCCACAGATGATGCAGAAGCAAAAAAAGAAGTTTAGTTCTTCTTAAATAAACAGTTGGATAAATATATTTAGTTCTTCTTCGGTTTTGTTTTGCCGAACTCGTGTAATGAACTTTTTTTAGTGAACCTGAAATATGCCCCTGAACAAATAAACCTTCAGGTCCTTCAATAAAAAAAGAGAATTCCTAAAACAGGAGTAAAATCTAGACAAAGTGCACCAATTGGACCACCATTGTTTTCTTCCTAAAAGATGATTCATTCACTCCTATGAGGAAACTTTATTCTTTTCATAGAATCAAATAAATCCTATTTTGGTTTAGTAAACACATACCAACATACACTGAGATTATTTCACAGGTCTGTGAGTGGATGAGGATACAAGATGATATCCACCTTTTATCCGGCGATTATGCTGTCCATTTGGACTTGATATCAAAAGTCCGTGGCATGAATAGTGCCGAGAAATTCTTTGAAGACATTCCCGAGGACATGATAGATTATTCCACATGCAGTGCCCTTCTCCATTGTTATGTGCAAGAAAAAGACACTGTTAAAGCTGAGGCTCTTCTGGAAAGAATGTCCGAATGTGGTTACTTGAATCACCCTCTCCCTTACAACCACATGCTTTCTCTATACATATCAACTGGGCATTTGGAGAAGATCCCGAACACGATTCTTGAGTTAAAGAAGAATACTAAACCGGATCTCGTGTCTTACAACCTCTGGTTGGCTGTCTGTTCATCCCTGAATGATGTCGAAACTGCAGAACAGATATTTCTTGAGCTGAAAAAGGCCAAAATAGATCCAGATTGGGTCACATTCAGCACAATGAGCAGTATCTATATCAAAAGTTCACAAAACGAAAAGGCAGAGTCGACTTTGAGAGAAATGGAGAAAAATGTCTTTAAAAGGACCCGTGTTGCTTTTCCATCTCTTGTTAGTTTGTATACACATGTGAAAAGTAAAAACGAGGTTCAACGTGTTTGGAAGAAGATGAAATCTATTTACCACAAGTTAAATGATTCAGAATACACTTGCATGATATCTTCATTGCTGAAACTTGATGATTTTGAAGGCGCTTTGAACACATATACTGAATGGGAATCTGTTTCTGTGACCAAGGACACCAGAATCTCAAATTTAGTTCTCGCAGCTTACATCAAGAATGATCAGCTGGATATGGCAGAGAGTTTCAAAGAACAGATGGTTCAGAAGGGAATCCCTCCTAGCTATACAACCTGGGAGCTATTTACGTGGGGGTATATTAAACATAAGAAGATGGATGACGTTCTGACTTCGTTCAAGAAAGCCATTGCTTGTGTCAAGAAGTGGGACCCTGATGTGAAGATTGTACGAGAGATGTTTGGTCTACTTGAAGAGCAAGGTAATGTTGGATTGGCAGAGGATTTGATAGTTATACTTCGTCGAGCTGGTCATGTGAACACAGAGGTGTATAATTTGCTTCTGAGGACTTACAAGAAAGCTGGTAAAATGCCACTCATTGTTGCTGAACGGATGAAGAAAGATGATGTGGAAATGGATGGAGAGACTGAAGAGCTAATTAGGTTAACTAGCATGATGTGTGTAACTGAAGTTCCTAACCATCTATCTTAGGGCTTGTTTGGTTGGGGCATTTTGCAGGGGACATGGAGGGTTAGGCGAGGGTTGTTTTTTTGTTTTTTATAAAGTATTTCTGTTTAATAGTCTTATACTAGATAATGACTATCTAGTTATACTATTTATTTCAATTTAATCATTTTATCTCTCAATTTCCCCCCTACCATGTATAAATGTAAGAATAGATTATAACATTTTTATCAGTCATCCAGTGCTGCCACTTCCTCCCCTCCGTAATCTCCTAACCAAACAAGGGTTAGCTTTCTGTTTTGAATCATTAACTAGTTTTGAGAATTTGATTTTAGTTATCTTCTATTTACATGAAGAGTGATTAATGGTAAAAGTTGATATTGTTTGAAAAGAAAGTGATTTTAATAAAGTACTCCCTAAAATTTAGAGATTGGGTGAAAAAGTACTTTTATGCGTAATAGAGAAAGTAAAAACGGTTTTAAGCACCTTCTCTAGTTCTCTCATATCTACGCTTTCAGCTTAAAACTATCTAACCTTAAGAACACATGTTTGAAAACACTATCTTAACTTGTTTAGACAAAAAGTTGAAAATTGTTTTTTACCCAACTGCAAACACACATGCACAATGATCAAAGGACTTTTAGCATCTGAGACTTTTGGCCGTAACAGATTTCCTTCTTAGAAATGACCACATAAATTCAATAGTACTCCCTCCGTCCCACTAACAATGAGACAAAAGGGAGTGACACAGAAATTAATAAAAAGTGGTTTCTGTGGTTGATATTGAATTGATAAAGTAAGAATAAAGTAAGAATGCTTTAGAGCCACACAAACTTTACCAAATTTGGTATGAGACAATCTTAGTGGGACACACTGATATGGTAAAATGAGACAATCATAGCGGGACGGAGGTAGTATATTTTTCTATGTCCATGTCACTCTCTTTCGGAAAATAACTGGTTTAGATGGTGTTAGACTATTGGACTCATACCTCATGTATTATTCACAGTATAATATTTATTGAGTTTAATTGTATGTTATATGCTATCTTATATTTAGGCCCAAAATTAATGGTCCTATGGATATTAATTTAAGTGGGCTAATAAGTTATCTAATAAGGTATAGGGCCCAAGTGTGTAGAGACTCATGGGCTTGACCTAATCAATGATGGTCTGATTAGAGTTAAGCACTCTCTATAAATAAGGGGTTATGGTCCCTAGTTGAACACGCCATTCCGTCTTTCTGCATCCTATCGCTAGAGAGATAATCCCGAGGGTGTGTATCAACTAGAAGACGCAATCCCTAGCCTCCGTCTCCCGGATCTCTAAAGGTGATCTCCCATGGAGTCAGGTACGCTTCCGCTCAGTTAATTCTCTAGATAATTTCAATATGAAGATTAGAGTATTCCTGGATTTATTCCAACAATTGGTATCAGAGCCTCCTTCATATTGAATTATTTGGAGTCGGTATAATCTGTTGATTACATGTAATAAGGGTAATGCGATTTTGCGCGTATGCAATTCGTTCATAATGTTGAATCGATGGCTGATGATTAAATGGAAATCGATTTTTTTTTATTGATGCCGATTTGATTTTCGGGAATAGGGGTTTCGTTTTGTTTATTTTTGTTTCATTCCCATTTATGCTAAGCACGATCATGCTGGAATACTGCAACTTTACTTATTATTATTGTTATGTTTCTAATGCCACTACATGAAATCAGCAATTTTTTTTTAATGTTCGGAACTATGGAATCAGGGCAGTTGTATTATTTTGATTGATTTATTTGTGTTTTGGAATCCATCAATTAAGTTTTCTAAAAGTAATTCAGGAACCTCTATTGCGTATTTGCGTGTGGCTCTAAGCCAATTTCTGGTGATTCAAAATAAATCGTGATCTTCAATTCCTTTTCTTTAAGGAATTCATTTAGCCTACGTATTCATTCGTTTGAGTTTTTTTTTTAAACTTCTTAATGTTCTTGATCTAATTCCAGTTTTTTCAGTCAACCGATATATATATATATATATATATATATATATATATATATATATATATATATATATATATATATATATATATATATATATTGGTGTCGTATTGAATCTTGTTGTGCATCCATTTTTCTAGTGATTCAATTTTGGAATTATTTATGGCTTTGGTAATTAAGTACATATGTGTAATTATTATCAGTTTTGGTAATTAAATACTTATATGTAATTGCGGTCAATATCAGTTTTATTAAAATGCATGATTTTGCATTACCGGAATATAATATTTTGGTCGTTGTAATTTGTGGCTTGAAAAGTATGTATTATTGTGTTATGGGATGTATAAACCCTATTTTGCAATCGCACAACGATTGAGTATGAACTTTACAAATTATCGTTATACATAACACATTTGCATGTGATTCAGAAAAATTCACCCAATTTTATTTTCAGATTGTTGATTTAATATTAGCATGTCTAATATTTGGGTTGATTAATTGACACAACATGCTACCAAAGTAGCCTCTCTTGTTGAAATTAATTAACTCATATATTAAGATGATTGTGTACTTTCTTATTTCATGTGGATAATGATCGGCCCAAAGGAAGGTTATTATTTGGCCGAAATTTAAGTACATTTGTGAATAAAATTTGTGATGATTATGAAATTTTTCGTGAGAATATTAACTCGGTCCAAAGAAAGGCTTGATATTTGACATGATTTTATTATCAAAATTTTATTATCACACCAAGAATACCACTTGCAAGTCTAATTTATGTCCAAAGACAAGATTAGATGTTGCGCTAGGTATCTTGTGATGGGGATTGCTAATATTTAAATTTAAAATTAATTATCAAATTAATTTCAGTTCCTAGAGCATATCATTTAGATTATTTTTTGTTCTCTTTCAGTCAACAATTCTGCTGCTACAATATCTGCTTAATATTAATAGCATCCCAGTGCTTAACGGTGCGAATTTTAAGGAATGGAAAGAGAACGTTATGATTGTTCTCGGTTGCATGGATCTAGACCTTGCACTTCGGACTGAGAAACCCGCCGCTCTTAAGGACACATCTACCCTTGATGGAAAGAGGGAAATGGAGAGGTGGGAACGCTCAAACCGTATGAGTCTAATGATCATGAAACGTGCAATTCCAGAATCATTCACGGGCACGATGTCTGATGAGGCTGATGCCAAATCGTTCCTTGCCGAACTTGAAAAGCGTTTTGCTAAAAACGAAAAGGCGGAAACTAGTACTCTTTTGAGCACTCTTGTTTCCATGAAGTACAAAGGCAAAGGGAACATAAGGGAGTACATTTTGGAAATGTCTCACATTGCTTCAAAACTAAGTGCACTAAAGCTTATTTAACCTGAGGAATTGCTTGTGTATTTAGTTTTGATCTCTCTTCCTTCTCAATTTAATCAATTTAAAGTCAGTTACAACTACATTAAGGAGAAATGGTCTCTCAATGAGCTCATTTCTCATTGTGTTCAAGAGGAAGAGCGAATAAAGCAAGATAAGACTGAAAGTGCTCATTTGGCATCTACCTCTAAGGGCAGCAAGAAAAGGAAAATTAAGGAAGCTGCAAATTCAGGGCCTCCCAGGAAGCATCATAAGGAAACTAAGGAAGAAACTAAGGAATCTGGATGCTTCTTTGTCAAAGGGACTAATCACAAGAAAAAGAACTGCACTAAGTACCACGCTTGGCGTGCGAAAAAGGGTATGTCTCTTGCTCTTGTTTGTTCTGAGGTTAATTTAATTTCGGTACCAAAAGACACTTGGTGGGTAGATTCCGGTGCTACTACTCACATAAGTGTATCTATGCAGGGTTGCCTGAGCTGCCGAAAACTAATTGATGGTGAAAGATACATCTATGTCGGTGATGGCAGGCGGGTTGAAGTTGAGGCTATCGGTGTTTTTAGATTATTATTAAAGACTGGTTTTTATTTGGATTTGAAAGAGACATTTGTTATGTCGTCATTTAGGCGAAATTTAATTTCTATTTCTGCATTGGACAAATTTGGTTATTCTTGTTCATTTGGAAATAGTCAGTTAAGTCTATTTCAAGATTCAAAACTTATTGGTACTGGTCTTTTATCAGTTTATGATAATCTATATTCACTTGATATAAATACCTCATATAATGAAACCTTGCATGTAAGTACTCGTGGTACTAAAAGAAAATTAACAAATGAGAATTCGTTTTCACTTTGGCACAAGCGTCTAGGACATATTTCTAAAGAAAGAATTCAGAGACTTGTGTGAGATGGAATCCTTGATTCTCTTGAATCCTCAAATTCTGATATTGTCTTGAGTGCGTTAAGGGAAAACAAACGAACAAATGGAGATTAGGTGCCGAGAGAGCTTCACATCTATTAGAATTGATATATACAGACATTTGTGGACCATTCCCTACACCATGTAGAAATAGTCAAATATATTTTATCACATTCATAGCTGATTACTCTCGTTATGGTTACCTTTATCTCATTCATGAAAAATCCCAATCAATAGACGTGTTCAAATCTTATAAGGGCGAAGTTGAAAATCAATTAGGCAAAAGAATAAAAACCGTTAGATCTGACCGTGATGGTGAATATTATGGTAGATATGATGGTTCCGATGAACAATGTCCAGGGTCATTCGCCAAATTCCTAGAGGAGTGTGGAATTGTTCCTCAGTACACCATACCAGGAACTCCTAGCATGAATGGTGTTGCTGAGAGACGAAACCGTACATTGAAGGACATGGTGGGGAGAGGCACTGAAAATTGGAGCTTACATACTTAACAGAGTTCCCACTAAAGCTACAACTAAAACCCCTTATGAAATTTGGACTGGAAAGAAACCCAGTATAAATCATTTTCATGTTTGGGGTTGTCCAGCTGAGGCAAGGCCTTATAGGCCAAATGAAAAGAAACTGGACTCAAGAACAGTCAGTAGCTATTTTGTAGGATACTCTGAGAGGTCAAGGGGGTATAAGTTTTATGATCCCAGTACCAGGACTATTTTTGAGACAGGTAATGCCCGGATCTTTGAGGATATTGAGTTTGGGGGGTGGGGAGATAAGGTTAGAGATTTTGTCTTTGAAGAAGAGCATGTTACTCTTCCTTCAGTTGTCATTGAACATTATCAAAATATTTTTATTCCTAATAATGTTCAAGAAACAACTCCAGTTCAGGACAATCTCGAAAATATCCCCAATCAAGTACCTGAATTTGTTAATGAGGATCAAACTCAACAACCTCAAGAACCTGATGTGCCATTAAGGAGATCCACTCGAGAGAGGAGAAGCGCATATTCGGATGATTATATTGTATTTCTCCAAAAACATGAGGAAAATTGGGAATTGGTGGAAGAAATAATTGTCTTCCTCCAAGAACAAGAATCAGATGTTGGTTTTGCGGAAGATGATCCAATCAACTTCCATCAAGTCATGGAAAGTTCTAACTCTCAAGAATGGATTAATGCCATGAAAGATGAGATGAAGTCTATGAGTGACAATGACGTTTTGGAGTTAGTGTCATTGCCTGAAGGTATTAAACCCATTGGTTGTAAATGGATATTTAAAATCAAGAGGGATTCAAAGGGCAATGTTACAAGGTTTAAAGCTCGTCTTGTTGCTAAAGGCTACACTCAAAAGAAAGAAATTGACTATAAAGAGACTTTCTCCCCGGTATCCTCGAAAGACTCTTTTAGAAGAATAATGGCATTAGTGGCATATTTTGATCTTAAGCTTCATCAGATGGATGAAAAACTACATTTCTCAATGGTTACATTGAGGAATCAATCTATATGGAGCAACCAGAAAACTTTGTTTCGGGAGATTCAAAGAAAATGGGTTGCAAATTAAAGAAATCCATCTATGGGCTCAAACAGGCTTCTCGTCAGTGGTATCACAAGTTTCATAAAGTCATTATATCTTTTGGTTTTCAACCAAACGTCAGTGATGATTGTATATACCACAAGTTCAGTGGGAGTAAGCATATTTTCCTGGTCTTGTGTGTTGATGACATACTGTTTGCTAGTAACGATATAGGCTTATTGCACGAAACTAAGAGATTTCTTTCAAAGAATTTTGAAATGAAAGATCTTGGTGAGGCTTCTTTTGTATTAGGAATTCAAATTCACTGAGATCGCTCCAAAGGCGTTCTTGGACTCTCACAAAAGAGCTATATCGATAAGGTTCTCAAAAGGTTTGGTATGCAAGACTGCAAACCAGTTTCTAAGGGAGACAAGTTTAGTCTCATGCAGTGCCCTAAGAATGGTTTTGAATCTAAAGAAATGATGAACATTCCTTATGCTTCGGCTGTAGGAAGTTTGATGTATGCCCAGGTTTGTACAAGACCTGATTTGGCATACATTGTTGGGATGTTAGGCAGATATTTGAGCAATCCGGGAATGGACCATTGGAAAGCAGCCAAAAGGGTCATGCGGTATTTACAGAGAACAAAGGAATATATGCTCACATATCGGAGATCGGATCAGCTTGAGATCATTGGGTATACCGACTCTGATTTTGCTGGATGTCAAGATAGTTTGAGATCCACTTCAGGCTACATCTATATTCTAGGTGGAGGAGCTATCTCCTGGAGGAGTATCAAGCAGACTCTTACAGCTACTTCCACCATGGAAGCAGAGTTTATAGCATGTTATGAGGCATCCAATCAGGCATTATGGCTGCGAGATTTTGTTAGTGGACTGCGCATAGTGGATAGCATTGAAAGACCACTTAAGATATTGTGTGACAATAGATCAGCAGTCCTCTATGCTAAGAACAACAGTAGTTTGACCAAGGCAAAACACATTGGGGTCAAATTTAAGGCTGTTAAGGAACGAGTACAAGAAGGAAAGTTATCTATAGAACACATTAGCACAAACTCCATGATTGTGGATCCGCTCACTAAAGGATTACCACCAAAGTGTTTCATGAGCATGTTGCTCAAATGGGTGTCAAATCAGTTGAGGATTATGAGTTTTAGTGGGAGTGTGTAATGTTTCTATATTTGATTAACTCAAGTTTTAATGTTATTTTCTGCAGAAATAAAGTTTAAAGTTTTATGTACTCTTATAGTTATATTATTGATCTTAAGGTGGACCAGTTGGAAATAGACATTCTATTCCAGACCACACTTTATGTTATTTCCATGCTACACACCTATACTTGATCCATGTCGTTTATTATATTAATATACGTGATCATTGATGGGTCTAGTTATGCGAATATAGCAAAGACTTCTTTGGTCCTATGTTGATATAATTAATAGACCGGATTGATTAAAGATGACTACAGGTTGATACAATGCTAAGGATTGTGTGTATACATGTGTACGTCGTCCAAGTGGGAGATTGTTAGACTATTGGACTCATACTACATGTATTATTCACAATATAATATTTATTGGGTTTAATTGTATGCTATATGCTATCTTATATTTAGGCCCAAAATTAGTGGTCCTATGGATATTAATTTAAGTAGGCTAATAAGTTATCTAATAAGGTATAGGGCCCAAACGTGTAGAGACCCATGGGCTTGACCTAATCAATGATGGGCTGATTAGGGTTAAACACTCTCTATAAATAAGGGGTTATGGTCCCTAGTTGAACACGCCATTCTGTCTTTATGCATGCCATCGCTAGAGAGATAATCCCGAGGGTGTGTATCAACTAGAAGACGCAAACCCTAGCCTCCGTCTCCCGGATCTCTAAAGGTGATCTCCCATGGAGTCAGGTACGCTTCCGCTCAGTTAATTCTCTAGATAATTTCAATATGAAGATTAGAATATTCATGGATTTATTCCAAGAGATGGAGCATAAATGTCACTCTCTTCTTTTTAATTTTTAGGACGTTAATTTGGAGTGGAATTTTCAACGATGACATGAACTAGAGTAATTTGATGTAATGATGTGTTACTTATAAGTTATTTTTTTTAAATGTATTTAATTATTATTATTATTATTCAATGTTATGTTATTTTAAGTCTGACTTAATCAATTATGTTTTGATATTGAAATAAGTTCTATTATATTGTGATTTAACTTTCTTTTGATAATATGCTCAACAAAAAAACTTTCTTTTTATAATTTTTTTTTTCTGAATAAAAAATCTAAGTAATAGTTTTCACATCATTTCAATAAAATTATCAATTATACCAACTTTAAATAATACCAACTATCACTCGATCATCAACCAAACATAATACACTTTGAAAATGATTTTTAATAATATCAACTATTTGAATGTAAAACAAAATAAAATGGAGTTTTTTAACAAGAAATTCAGTCATATAAGACATCAAAAACTAATCGCAAACCATCAAATAAATGATATTCGAAAATACAGTCACTTATTTGATATTTTAGTAATAGTTTTTGGTGAATGAAATGACTAAATTTTTGGTGAAAAATGCTCTATATCACTTTTGGTGTGTAATTAAGAGACCGTTTGACAACACTCGTTTTGGACTTATCAGGCTTATCAGCCAACTTTTTCACCAAACACGTAACTTTTGCTTTCACGCGCTGATTTGTGTAATAAGCAGAAAAAGTAAGGTTGGAGTTACTTTTCTGGCTGTATTGGTTGAAGTTACTGTAGATGACCATTTTAGCTATTTTTACATATAACTTTTTCTTTATTTTATCAAGAAAATATATTTTTAAAATAATTTTTTCTTATATCAGCAGAATCAGCCAATGCAGTCACTTCAGCCAGAACTTCATAAATTTCAGTATAATCAGCCAAATCAGCCGATTTTCGTGTTACCAAACGGGCTCTAAGTAGTTAGTATTATTATTACAAGTTATTTTCATAGTACGTATTATTCTTAGTTCATAGAAGATAATTTGTACTACCTTCATCCCAAAAAATACTTCTCGATTTGACTTGGCACGCTTATTAAGAAAGTGGAATAAAGTGGAAATATATGATTGTAGTTGTGTAATAAAAATGTAAAATGATTATGAGCCACACAAATTGTCTAAAAAGGGAAAGTGGAAAATATTTTTTGGAACGGTGCAAAAAGGAAAGTGAGAAGTATTTTTAGGGACGAAGGGAGTATTATTTAAAGTTATTTCCCCTAAATTTGGCGATATCAATTTTTTGATTTTCTCTTAAAAGAGTAAATACGAATGTTTGAACAATATTAGATTATCACCCGCGCGATGCACGGATTAAAATTTATCAATTTGTGATTAAGAAGTCTATTATAAA